TTTAGTTTTTTTCTTTTCCATACTATTTGTTGAACTCTTTACTTAACATAGAGTTAACCATATGTGTAGAAAGTTAATTGGAAAAAAAAAATCTTAGTAAAAAAATAAAGAGTGGGAATAAGAGAGGGAGGAGGAAGGGGGGTGGTAGTGTGGGTAGGAGGGCAGGAACAGTGGGAAGAATCACCATGTTCCTAAAGTTGTAATTATGAAATGTATGAAGCTTATAACTGTAAAGCTGTACAGTTCTACATGCATTCCTATGGACGTACTTCTGAGGGTACAGTTTAAAAATTTGCCATGGGATGCCCAATCCCCATAAGTGGGGTGGTAAAAAAAAAAAAAAAAAAAGCATTTTAAGTGTTAAAGTGATCAAAGGGATAGGATTAAGCATTAAAGTAATCATATAGATAGGATTAAGTGCTAAAGTGATCATACGAATAGGATTAAGTGTTTGGTAATAATAATAATAGAATTCAAACGGTGTTAGTGCTCCAACATGGGAAGCAGTCCACACAGCAGACTCACAGACAAATAAAGGAGCACTCTAACCTCAGAATCAGCCCTTAGGGTGTTCTGGTCTGGCTGCAAAGCCCACAAGAGCATTTCAGGCATGGAAAGCCAAGACACTGTGGCAAAAAGTGTGCTACATGAAGTACCTCTGTGTGTGACACCCCAGTGGAAAGAAGTGGTCATCAAAGAAGGAGGTACTTTTCTCTGAAAGGAGGAGAGAACTGAACTTCCACTTTGCTTATGCCTTGTCTAAATACTGAAGGAGTCTGTGGATTCAAAAGGCTTCCATAGCCTAGGCAGCTCATGTCAAGAGCCTTGGGTGAATAGCCAGGAAGTGTAGCAGAGAAGTGGTTCTCAGTGATCTTCGTGCAGTGTCCCCTGAAAACCAGCTGAGAACCCTCGAACTTCCTGAATCCCAGCCTTTGGGAGTGGGACTACCTGTCTGTTTCAACAAGCCCTCTCCGTGGTCTCGCCACATGCTGAAGTTTGAGAACCACTGTCATAAAGGATTGTGAATCATTTCTGCCACATTCTGAATTCACTATTCTCAGAAAGGACTTGTTCCAGATTTAATGTCAGTGTTTTCCCCCAAAGGGAAATAATCCACTAGCTCCAAAAGGTCAGAGGTCAGAGCCCCAGAGGGGAAAAATTAGTAGCCTCTGTACCTCATCACATGATTTAAAAACATACTGTGGGGATTTTGTTTGTTGCTGCTCCTTATTCACACAAGATGGCAGTGTTAAGAGTGTATCACTGGGGGGCCGGCACTGTGGCACAGTGGGTTAAAGCCCCTGGCCTGCAGCACCAGGATCCCATATGGGCGCCGGTTCGAGTCCCAGCTGCTCCACTTCTGATCCAGCTCTCTGCTCTGGCCTGGGAAAGCAGTAGAAGATGGACCAAGTCCTTGGGCCCCTGCACTCACGCGGGAAACCCAGAAGAAGCTCCTGGCTCCTGGCTTCGGATCAGCTCAGCTCCGGCCATTGTGGTCATTTGGGGAGTGAACCAGCAGATGGAAGACCTCTCTCTCTCTCTCTCTCTCTCTCTCTGCGTGTGTGTGTGTGTGTGTGTGTCTACCTCGATCTGTAACTCTTTCAAATAAATAAAGTAAATCTTTAAAAAAAAAAAAAAAAGAGCCTTGGGTGATCACTAACATCATACCTAGAATGTTAATTGTTAAATTAACAACAGGAGTCATTGTGCACTAACTTCTCATGCAGGACCTCTGCCCTCAAAGAGTTTTATTATTAGAATTAATAGTAAAACTTGTTCACAAAGATTTATTTCATTTTAATGTATTAAGTAGAGGCCTTTTATATGTCTCATAAGTTTTAGATAAACCTAAGTGCCCAACTCCATTGCTTGTTTTCTTAGGTGCTTCTTCATGATAAAACTTGTTCTCAAGGGGGAAAAAAGTATATTATTGCAAAAATTAAATGAAAAATGAGAAAGGAAATAGAAGGAAGGGTGGGAGTGAGGGACGGAGAGAGGCTGGGGTGGGAAGTGTCATTATGTTCTTAAAACTAAGTATTCGATACAGGAAATTTGTTCCATTTTTAGAAATAAAAAAAATTTAAATAAGAGACTGCCAATAAGGGGGGAAATAAAAGCCAGAGCAACTATGCTACCACCAGACAAGGCAGATTTCAGAACAAGATAGTATTATAGATAAAAGGATGGGCCAGCACTGTGGCACAGTGGGTTAATGCCCTGGCCTGAAGCACCAGCATCCCATATGCGAGACCCGGTTCAAGACCCAGCTGCTCCACTTCTGATCCAGCTCTCTGCTATGGCCTGGGAAAGCAGTAGAAGATGGCCCAAGTACTTGGGCCCCTGCACCCACATGGGAGACCGGGAGGAAGCACCTGGCTCCTGGCTTCAGATTGGAGCAGCTCTGGCCGTTGTGGCCAATTGGGGAGTGAACCATTCAGATGGAAGATCCCTCTCTCTCTCTCTCTTTCTCTGCCTCTCCTCTCTGTGTAACTCTGACTTTCAAATAAATAAATAAATAATTGAAAAAAGAAAAGGAAACATTACTGGTGGGAATGCATAGTTGTACAGGCACTTGGGAAGACAGACAGGTTCTTTAACAAAACTAAACATACTCTTACACAATTCAGCAATCATGCTTCTTAGTATTCATCCAATCAGAGGTATAGGGGTGGGAGTGGAAGTTCTCTGTATTTTCAGTGAATTTTTCTGTGAAACTAACAGGGCTCTAAAAAAATAGTCTACTTAAAAACTCATCACTCAGCCGGCGCCATGGCTCACTAGGCTAATCCTCCACCTTGCGGCGCCAGCACACCAGGTTCTAGTCCCGGTCGGGGCGCCGGATTCTGTCCCGCTTGCCCCTCTTCCAGGCCAGCTCTCTGCTGCGGCCAGGGAATGCAGTGGAGGATGGCCCAAGTGCTTGGGCCCTGCACCCCATGGGAGACCAGGAGAAGCACCTGGTTCCTGGCTCCTGCCATCGGATCAGCGTGGTGCGCCGGCCGCAGCGCGCTGGCCGCGGCGGCCATTGGAGGGTGAACCAACGGCCAAGGAAGACCTTTCTCTCTGTCTCTCTCTCTCACTGTCCACTCTGCCTGTCAAAAAAAAAAAAAAAAAAAAAACTCATCACTTATTACTACAAATTCTTACCCGTCACCTCTGAATTAAGTTTCAGAGAGGTAGGGACTATATCTAGCTTGCTCCCTGCTGTGTGCTCAGCAGAAAAGTTATCAAAATATATTAAGTCCCTGCTTTCCTGACATTCTTTCCTGACATACTAGCTGACGTGGCAGCTAGGAAAGAATAATCGCTGTATATATTATCAACAACAACAGATATACTGTGATATAATCTAAATCTAGAGAAATTTGTTCTTGGGGCTGCTGGTTTGTGTCCTGGCTGCTCTACTTCTGATCCAGCTGCCTGCTAATTGCCTGGTAAAAGAAGCAGAAGACAGCCCAAGTGTTTGGGCCTCTACCAGCCACATGGGAGAACCAGATGAAGCTCACAGATCCTGTCTTTAGCTTGGCTTAGCTCTGGCCACTGTGGCCATCTGGGGAGTGAATCAGTGGATGGAAGATCTCTCTGTGTCTCTCCCTCTCTCTCTGTAACTCTGATTTTCAAATAAATAAATCTCAAAAGGGTCTATATAGGGTCAGCACCATGGCTCACTTGGTTAATCCTCCACCTGCGACAATGGCATCCCATATGGGTGGTAGGCTCTAGTCCCTGTTGTTCCTCTTCCAGTCCAGCTCTCTGCTGTGGCCCAGGAGGGCAGTGGAGGATGGCCCAAGTGCTTAGGCCCTGCACCTGCACGGGAGACCAGGAAGAAGCACCTGGCTCCTGGCTTTGGACTGGCACAGCATCAGCCGTGGCGGCCACTTGGGGAGTGAACCAGCAGATGGAAGACCTTTCTCTCTGTCTCTCTCTCTCTCACTGTCTATAACTCTACCTATCAATTTTTTTAAAAGGGTCTATATGTATTTAAAAAGAAAGAAGATTGTCCTTAACTAAATGCTAAAACTAAATATTCTAGCTAAATTTTACTGACTAAACTTTTCACCATTATTGATTGATCTCTAAAGACATTGCTCTAATTTAAAAAAAACTCAAAATCACTTAGAACTCAAAAACAACTATTAGCATACCACAGGTATTCAGAAGAGCATATATACCTCTTTGAGGTGCAATATATTTAATGATAACAATATAAAAGTATCAAATGAGTACCATTCAAAAGACAAATTTCAAGATGCTGAGGTCATCATAAAAACTTTTTGCATTTCTTTTCATGAGATGAATCCTTTCCTTCAATTAATGAGTCAAAACTATCAGATAATTTTCTGAAAATACCTAGTATAAATATGAGATAGGCTTTCCAGAAAGACAAAGCAATGAGCAATAAATCAATTTTTTCATCCCTTTAAAGGATGAAATATACCATAGTGCTTTGCACATAACTCTTACTCTAAAAGGTTTGCTCTATTAGCTTGTTTGAGGTTAAGTAATATTTGTTCTGTTTTAGTAAAGCTAAAAGAAAAAAATACTTCCTGCTAATAATCAGCTTATCTGCACTATTTCACACAAAAGGAAAAAATCCAAGATAATAATGTCTTGTTTCTATATTCTTCACAAAGTTTGAGAAGATTGTTAGCATACTATTTCCTTGAGTAAATATGTAAAAACTTGCTAAATGACACTAATAATCTGGGAGGTTTTTCCAAAGACAACTTTCATAGACATACACAGCTTACAAATCTAAGAACCCATACATTTCTGAGAAACAATTTAAATTTTGAAAATCATCCTATTGAATTATCCCTTAATGTACTTATTGTAAAATTATCCTTAGTTCTCTGTCTTTGACTTCTATTTACTATTTTCATTATTTTATAATTTGCTAACATTAATTTTAATTAATAGCTAATATCTGAATATCTAATCAGTAAGTATTTTCAACAAACTTCAAATCAAGGAGAAAAAGCACTGTTTGACAAATATGGTACCTGATAGAGGATGTTCTTGGCCCGTGATCTCTGGAATCCATTACCCAACCAACATGACACTCTACAGGAGGATTTGTACTGTGCCTTGTTTTTCTTTTTCGTGGACACTAAAGAAAAAGAAGTCGAACATTGCAATTACTTTCAGTAGTGTGAACTTCACAAGTAAATTAAAACCCTCTGACTGTAAGCCAACTCAAACATTTTTATACTGTGGATGACACATTGTGAAATCATATGAAGTCACAAAACTCAAAACATCTCACATACAACTTACAAAATTTACAAACAAGGCCCTTTGCTAGGTTTGTGATACATAGAGTAAAGAAAATACAATTTAGTAGGATTCTTCATTTCACCTTCTGGTCACCCTAACTATCGTACTCAAGTGTAAAGAAGTTATTAATCTGAGAAAACATCACTCTGGTAATTTATCATTTTTAATGAATTCTTACAATTTGAAATATACTTTTTTATGTGATAGAAACTAAAAACTCTCTGTAATGTTAAGGATACAAAATGCAGGTTTTATATTCCTGGTTGCTTTGTGTACCTTTACATCAAGGAGTTTTGGTTCCTTAACAACGGGATAAAATCTTGGTGCTTTGTTAGGATCTTGCAACCTGGGTGTCCGAGGTGTTTTGGGTGTCCTTGCAGGATGACTCCTCGGAGATTCTGGAACTATAGTGGGCAACGAATGGGCAACTGTTGCTGAAGTTATTTCTGAAGCATCAAACAGCTTCTGAACTAACTCATCAGTCAAATCTGAAAAATAAAAAGCTCTTAAAATTACTTATATGCTAGAAAAATACTTTACCTTAAAAATAAGGATAATCCTGAAATTCTCTATGATCAAAGAACTTGTGTTTATTAGGAACATTTCAATTGCATAAGAATAAAAAATAGCAAACACTTTAACATCACCTCATTTACAAATTCTAAGTTTGCTGTATCTATATGACTTTTTATTTTTAAGGAAAAAAAAAGCTAAAATTCAGTGCATAAATTTCCCTACTCTCATTTCCCTCATACTTTTCCTCCTCAAAGATAACCAAGCTCTTTAAATTTATTATATTGAGCTATTAGTACATAATAATATTCTGCATAACCACTTTTATATAACATCAGGCTATATGTATTATTTGGCAAGCTTTTTCATGTTTTATTACTAAAGTTCTGATTTGTTCATAAATAGTATAAAATAGCATAAATAGTATGCTATTATACTAACATATCAAAATTTATCCATTCTCCTACAAACAGATATTTATGTTATTTCAGATTGCTTTGTTTAATCAAGAAAGCTGAAGTCAGCATAGCTGAGCATGTCTCTTTATATAGGTGTGAGCGTTTCTAGTTTAGGATTTATATCTGCATGGAATTGTTAAGGGCTATGTATACCTTATAACTTTCTGAATACTGACTGCCAAACTGCTTTCTATAATAGTTTCACCAATTATACTCCCATCAGAGGCATATGAAAGTCCTAGCGATTTCACAACCTGTTCAAGACTGGGATTTTTGGACCCGGTGTTGCAGTACAGCCCGCTAAACTGTTACTTAGGTAGTGGAAGATGACCCAAATTCTTGGGCACTTTCAAATAAGCAAATCTTTGTTTAAAAAAAAAATACTGGGTTTTGTTCAGAACCTTAAGTATTCCCCATCTCGTGGCATTTGCATTCTCTTAGTTACTAGTAAAGGAGAGCATGTTTTGATAAATCTAGTTACCATTCAGATTTCCCCTTCAGTGAGCGTGCCATTCATAACCTTTGACTATTTTTTCTGTTAGGCTGTTTTACTTAATGACTTAAGGTAAGATACTGTGTAAGCCTGCAGTATATTAAGTAGTAATAACAAAAACATAGGTTCTGTTTCTGTATGGTTTTGCTTTACATTTACTAGCTTCTCTTGATTCATGAAATATCTTTTGTTCTCTCAACAAATATTAAATGCCTACTATGTGCTAAATATCATTGTAGATACACTATTATGCTAGAAGTAAACTTACCTACTTATCATTTCCTCTCCCAATCCACTTTCCTCATTGTTACCACAGTGACTATCAAGAGGAGCAAATTAGAACATTTATTTCTACTTAAAATGTATTAGTGTTTCTCCTTTGCCTCTAGGCTTTTTATTGTGCATATAAGAATTTCTTGATTTTGCCTCATATCCCCATGTTGTCTCATTTTCCATTTCAATCTTGGTGACCCAAATAACACCAAACTATTTATTATTCTGGTTTCCTTACTCCATATCTTTTCATTTGCTTTTTTCTCTGTCTGAAAGAAAATTCCTTTACTTTTATACCCTTTTATACCCACAGTTGAATTCATTTCCTTCCTTTAAAACCCAGCAAAGATGTTATCTTCCTTGAGAATGTGAAGTATCCTTGAACATACCAAAAGAGTTAATCAGTCTGTTTGGTACCACCCTTGCTTTTTATCCATTTATTGCTTCATTTGTTAAGTTGAAATTTATTTTATTACAAATTATCGCATTAGATTCTAACAGCAAGTCTCACTGCATCCTTGAAAGCAAAGTCTACAATCTTACTGAATCCTACTGTCTACTAAATTTGCCTTTGAAAAAATATATCCTCACAATTAGAGTTCCTTGAATCGTGTTAGTCTTTTTTCCCTTGTACCAGAAAGATACACAATGTTAGGCTTTTTAAGGGGCATGCATTGAAAAACTTGTTAAATCTAAGACCTTTGTACAAGAAATATTCCAAGAACTCAGATCAACAACTCAGAAAGAGTAAGCTTCCAAGTATCTGGATTATGTTCTCTAAATTCTATTCCTCACTGGCCAGGTCCTCCCAAAGAAATAACATCTGGAGCAAATAAATGTGTAATTTGATCCTAGAAAGCAATGACATTAAAAAAAATAGCAAAGGTCATAAGGACAGTGTAGCAACCTCTATGGGTCCCCCCAGTTTAAAAAAGAAGCAATTAATCACTAAAAACAGTATCTGAACTGGATTAAGCATATCAAATAAAAAAGCTCCATGAGTTCACAACAATACTTTAAAACCTAATTACATTAAGAGGTTTCTAGGACACCAGTTAATTGTTTTTAAAAAGCTGACAAACTAAATTTTAAAAAGGAACAATTATTCTTACTTTTCTGTAAAAATTATATTTCAGGGTAAGCAAAGAGTTGATGAAAGACCATTTTTTCTTTATAGAATTCTAGCTAAGAAATGCAGATGGATTGATAGAATTGTAAGACAACTGTTTTGTGACTCTACTGAAATAGAGGATCCAAGTAATAATTATAAAGGATACTAAAACCATTAGGTAAAAATTTGAAAGGAAACTTTATAATGAATGAATCAGGCTGACAACATCTGAACTAAATCATCAATCATTATCAGTAAAAATTAGCCATACAGCACATTAAGACACAATAGGAGTCAAGCTGAAAGGAAGAAGGGAAGATGTCTATTCACAAACATAACCAAATAGAGGTGAGAATTCTCCACTCTCAAACTCTCACTTGTAGGCCAGCTTCAGATTTTAGCAATAAAGTTTTATTGGAAGCACACACACATACAAAAAGATGCAATAGGAAACAAAAGACTCTTCCTAAAACATATCTTGCAACCAGAAAACACACACACACACACACACACACACAAATAAATTCAATCCTTTAAATTCCGTTTGTATTTCATAGGGATATGGGAACACAGTAACATGAAGAAGATACAATCAGGTAAATTTAAATCATAATAAGCCCTAAAGTAAATTAACCATCTCTTTAACAAATCATTAGCACGAAAAAACAAGGGAAGATGAATGGTTATAGATTAAGAAAGACAATACCGGGCCGGGCGCTGCGGCTCAATAGGCTAATCCTCCGCTTGCGGTGCCAGTACACCGGGTTCTAGTCCCGGTCAGGGCGCCGGATTCTGTCCCGGTTGCCCCTCTTCCAGGCCAGCTCTCTGCTGTGGCCAGGGAATGCAGTGGAGGATGGCCCAGGTGCTTGGGCCCTGCACCCCATGGGAGACCAGGATAAGTACCTGGCTCCTGCCTTCGGATCAGCGCGGTGCGCCGGCCACAGCGCACGGGCTGCCAGCGGTCATTGGAGGGTGAACCAACGGCAAAAGAAGACCTTTCTCTCTCTCTCACTGTCCACTCTTCCTGTCTAAAGTACAAAAAAAAAAGACAGACAATGGCATATCAACCAACCAAATACAATGTGTGAACTTCGTTTAGTATTGATTCAAACAATTTGAAAGATACATTTCAGACAAGGAACAAACATAAACTAGGTAGCAGATTATATTAAGGAATTATTGTTAACTTTCTTATGTGAAATACTGGCACTATGAAAATTCACATATATATGTAGATCCTTCTCAGTTTGCAATATATAATGAAGTATTTCCAGAGGAAATGACACAATCTTTAAAAAATATTTATTTATTTATTTGAAAGGAAGAGTTACAGAGAGGCAGAGGCAGACAGAGAGAGAGAGGGAAAGGTCTTCCATCTGCTGGTTCACATCCCGGATGGCTGCAACAGCCGGAGCTGGGCAGATGGAAAGCCAGTAGCCAGGAGCTTCTTTCAGGTCTCCCATGTGGGTAACAGGGGCCCAAGGACTTCGGCCATCTTCTACTGCCTTCCCAGGCCATAGCAGAGAGCTGGATGAGAAGAGGAACAGCCAGGGCTCAAACTGGTGCCCACATGGGATGCCAGCACTGCAGATGGCAGCTTTACCTGCTACACCACAGCGGTGGCCCCTACGCTTAAACACTTAAATACTAGGCCAAGGACTTGTTCCCATCTCTCCACTTTTATCTTTTTTATCCACTTTTTAATCAAAAGTTTAATTTTTTACATTTATTTTATTCTTTTTTTTTATAGAGTTAGACAGTGAGAGAGAGAGAGAGAGAGAGAGAAAGGTCTTCTTTTGCCGTTGGTTCACCCCCCAAGTGGCCGCCGCAGCCATTGCGCTGCGGTTGGCGCACTGCGCCAATCAGAAGCCAGGAGCCAGGTGCTTCTCCTGGTCTCCCATGCGGGTGCAGGGTCCAAGAACCTGGGCCATCCTCCACTGCACTCCCAGGCCACAGCAGAGAGCTGGCCTGGAAGAAGGGCTACCGGGACAGAATCTGGCGCCCCAACCAGGACTAGAACCCCGGGTGCCGGCGCCACAGGTGGAGGATTAGCCAAGTGAGCCGCGGTGCCAGCCTATTTATTTTACTCTAGATTTGTTCAGCATGAATTTTATCCACCAATTAGAATAGATATATTATTTCCATGAAAACTAAGATCTAAAGAGTGCTTTGGTTACTTCATAATAAATTTTATAATATTTTTATAATATTCTGAATGAAATTATCAGAAAAGGTAATTTTAACCAATATGTTTACAACATATATTTAAATAGTATTAGAAATATATAATTAGTAAATAAAATATGTTTTTAAACATTTTCTTATTTATTTGAAAAAATTACAGAGAGGGGGCTTCCCCCACTGGTTCACTATCCAAATAGCCGCAATGGCCAGGGCTGGGCCAACTGAAACCAGGAGCCAGGAGCTTCTTCCAGATCTCCTATGTGGTGCAGGGGCCCAAGGACCTGGGACATCCTCCACAGCTTTCCCAGGCAAATTAGCAAGGAGCTAGACAGGAAGTGGAGCAGCTGGGACTCAAACAGGCACCCATAAGGGATGTCAGCACTAGACAGCAGTTTAACTTGCTATGCCACACTGCTAGTCCCAGATAAAAATATATTAACATTTTGAATTTATTAT